ATTCTAAAATGCAAAGATATACAACTCAGAACAAAAGTTAGACTCATATAAACCATTGTATTCCCTATTACCATGTATGGATGTGAGAGCATTTGAGATAATGTGGTGCTGGAGAAGAGTGCTGAGGATCCCATGGACAGCCAAAAGGACAAACAAATGGGTCCTAGAGCAGATCAAGCGGAAACCTCGCTGGAAGCCAAGATGACCAAACTGAGGCTGTCATACTTTGGACACATCATGAGAAAGGAGGACTCATTGGAAACGACAATAATGCTGGGAAAGGTAGAGGGAAGTAGGAGGAGAGGAAGGCCACATGCCAGATGGATGGACTCTATTAAGGAGGTCATGGGTATTAAGGGGGTTGCAGAAATTAAGCAGAGCAGTGTAGGAAAGAGCATCTTGGAGATGTCTCATCCATAAGGTCACCATGAGTCGAGATCGACTCAAGGGCAGTTAAGAACAAAAGCCCAATTTTATTCTACTTCTTAAACTCTATGAACAACACAACACCACATGTGTCATTCCTCACTTTCTATTTCCATGGCAATAGAAGAAACATCTTCAAAGGTCAACCTCATTTAGAATTGATTTGGATCTGAGAAGATAGCAGAAACTGAAAGCCTGAGGGATCCCTCTTCCATACCCAGAAACATTATATTGTATTGTACTGAATTATAGGGATATTCTACAGCTGTCCAACCAGCACCTAAGTACTAGTACTACTAGTAATAAATAATAATAAATCATTTCTAAATGTGCATCTGTAACATATAAATCAACATATGCAAATGCTATGCCATTTTCTGGTTTCTTTTGCAGGGGCACTGAGTAAGTGGCCACACTGGAGAGCTAGTGTGGTATAGTGGTTTGAGTGCTAGACTTCAACTCTGGAGACCAGGTTTCAATTCCCAACTCATCCATGAAACCCACTGAGTGACCTTGGCCATATCACATGTTCTCAGCCTCATGGGAAGGTAATGGCAAACCTCCTCTGCACAAATCTTGCCAAGAAAACTACATGATAGGCTTGCCTTAGGGTTGCCATTGGTCAGAAATGACTTGAAGGCACACAATGCCACCAACAAAGTGGCCATTCTAAGATCACTGTCATATGGGAAGCAATGGTCCTCCCACTCTCCATTCCTGAACTGCAAAGCAATATTAAAAGTCATTGGCAGCACTTTCAATTGTGAACCACATCAGGAGCCAGCAGAGCTGCTACAATTAAGGGATCACATGCTTCCTTTATACAAAGAAGGATCTGGCCCACTAGAAGTGGGTCAGTCATTAGAGACCTCAGTTGTACTTCTGGTTCCAGAAGAGGTTTATGGCTAATACCTTTTGTCAGATGATCCCCCTGAAAGCTGACACAGACCCACTGCTTTAAAGAATGCCCCTCTGATGACTTAAATGCCTCCCTCCCCAGCATTAATATCTTATTGCATAAGAAAACAGTCACCTCATATCACCCAACATAATGTTCATGCCTTGTTCCCAGTCTATCCAGGATTCTGGTAAAGCTCACATCCATATCTCCTATCACAACTGCAGTCTTTTATTCCTTTGCTTTATGTTCCAGAGTAATTGATATTTTAAAATTAAATTGCATTGCAGAGTTTATACATTTACTTTTAGGATGTATTTTGCATTAGAGGTAGCTTTGCCATGAGGCAAGATAAGGTTGTTGCGTTTGACATTTGAATTTGGAGAGCCAGTGTGGTGTAGTGGTTTGAGTGTTGGACTACAACTCTGGAGACCAGGTTTTAAATCCCAGCTCAAGCATAAAAACTCACTGGGTGACCTTGGGCAAGTCGTATCCTCTCAGCTTCAGAGGACGGCAATGACAAACTCCCTCTGAAGGAACTTGCCAAGAAAATCCTATGATAGGCTCACTTTAGGGTGACCATAAGTAAGAAAAATGACTTGAAGGCACACAATAACATTGAGGTAGTAGAGAAAGCTTTGATCAACGGTACAATCCTCATAGAAGTTCAGGTTCCTCTGTAGATGTCAGTCTGAAATGAACCAGAGATATTCAGTGAATTGTGTTCCTGGTTAATTTTAGCCAGTGTGGTACAGTGGTTTGAGTGCTGGACTTCAACTCTGGAGACCAGGGTTCAATTCCCAGCTCAGCCATGAAACCCACTGGGTGACTTTTGGCATTTTACACACTCTCAGTCTCATGGGAAAGCAATGGCAAACCTCCTCTGCACAAATCTTGCCAAGAAAACCCTATGAGAGGGATTTGATCAACAGTACAATCCTCATATAATTGATCAACAGTACAATCCTCAGGTCCCTCTGTAGATATCAGTTTGAAATGAACTAGAGATATCCAGTGAATTGTGTTCCTGGTTAATGAGAGAGAGATGTGGACTGGATTTTCTCCTTAAGGCATTGGGTTGTTTTGTTGTTGTAGTGTGCCTTCAAGTTTCTGACTTATGACAACCCTATGGCAAACCTATTGTGGATTTTTTGTGGCAAGATTTGTTTGTCATTGCCTTCCCCTGAGGCTGAGAGTATGTGACTTGCCCAAGGTCACCCAGTGGCTTTTATGGCCAAGCTGGGAATCAAACCCTGGTCTCCAGAGTTGTAATCCAATTCTCAAGCCACTATGCCATGCTGGCTCTCAACTGGGATATTTTATTCTTATTTATTATTATCTAAGAGATTTGTTTGCCGCAAACTACTTTGTTTAAAGTTTCAGATTGTTATATAGTTGATTAAGAACTGGGTTTCATTATTGTCCCCTGCATTACTAGAGCTAGAAGAAATTCACCTGTGAATTCAGCTTTTTGAGAAAAGGTACAAGGTACAAATCTTGCCAAGAAAACACATTAAGTCAGAAATGACTTGAAAGCACACAACAGCAACAAAAGTCTCAGACAAGCCATTTAAGAAAAAAGGCCTTGTACTTACAAATAGAATGTTATGCCTGATGAGTCAGAGGCTGCATCCACACTGCAGAAATAATCCATTTTGACAACACATTAACTGCCATGGCTCAAGGCTATGGAATTCTGGGAATTGTAGTTTCTTGTGGCACCAGAGCTCTCTGACAGAGAAGAGGCTATATTTCTCACAAAGCTACAGCTCACAGAAATCCATAGCATCAAGCCATGGCTGTTAAAATGGTGTCAGTCTGGATTGTTTCTGAAGCATGGATGCAGCCAATGTCTATCCTGTGAGAAGATGGTCTAGCATTCACGTTGTAAAGTTTATTATTTCTGGGGTGTGTTTGTTTGTTTGTATCAGTAAGCCTATTCTCTTTGATAATATTGTGGGGGGGGG